GCAAGTGCCTTGACCTGCAGGCTGTGATGTGACAAAGCCACATTCCCAGTTGCCTTGGCGAGACCTTTGCTCTTACTCCTGTGAGTTCATCCCCAGCTCTGAACTGAACTCAGCTGGGAGGAAAAGCAGCATTTGGACTTGGCTTCTCCACTCAAAACTGCACAGACAGCAGGAGGCTCAAACCTCCCTCCTCTCGAGCTTGGTGCAGCAGTGCCCTCCACATGGGTGTCCTTTGCTCTGAGACCAGCTGTGGTGCTTCCAGCCCGGCTCTCACTGCCTGCCTGTGCCCTCTTCCTCCTTATCCCCTGAGCGTTTCTCTTCTTAATCTCCCTCCTCAGCTGCTCCTCTCACCCCCTTTTGCTTTCCCTTCACCCACCACTGTTGCATTTGCACGGGCTGTGTCCTGCTCACACCTCATGTGACTCTTGCCAGGTAAGGTTTAGAGTTTCTCTGCGTGAAGCTCCAATCCACACACAAAGCAATTGTGAGGCTTCATTAGCAAGGTGGGGGAGTTTACTGTCCTCTGGGGCAGACTGTGCTCGCTCTGCCTGGCAGGACACAGTCCAGTTTGTTTAAACTTGTTAAAATGAATTCCTGTGCTTTCCCTGTGAAGTGTTAGGAGTGGTGTCATTTCTCTGCAGTGATGTTCTCATGCTGTATTTTGCTTGAGTGACTACTTAATTTTTACTTCAGATAACTGCTCCTGCTGCTCAACCAAAAATGTTTTGGTAAATTTTATCTTCGTGCATACAAAAATCAAAAATTTAATTTCAATTACTACTTAATTATTTTCTACCAAGTGCCCTCTGTGTCTGCTGTGGGGAGGGTTTCTCAGCAGTTCTCCCTGGGACAGAAGGAGATGAATCCACCAGGAGTTCTAATAATGAGACGAGACCCGCAGACCCAGCTTCACTCAGCCTGAAAAAAAGTTGGTAAAGCGCACAGTTTCTGGGAGGATGAAGAGCTGTTCAGATCCTGTACCCTGCCAGAGGTAACAAGCCAAAAAGGGACACTGGTGGGAGAACCCAAGAGAGGTTTGTGAACATGTACATGTTTTAATGCCAAGGTGAAGGCAATGGCCAAGCTGGGCAGGTCAGACTAACCCTTCTGGAAGGTTATGTCATGCTTTAATATGAGCTCTGTCCAATCACAGATGGATTTGTACTTTGGGTTCATGTTGGGGTTGTTACCAGCAGCAGATTCACATCGCTTTTCATACAGCAAGAAATGTATGTAATGTGTAGGTACAGTTCCTCTTATCTTGGCTTTTTTTGGATTCTGACTGACAAATAAACTTCCTCTCCCATTAAGCAGAGCGCCAGGGGGAGGGAAATGCAGAAGCTGTTAACACGCCTGGGTCGCCGTGTATTTAACTTGCCCTCTTAGAGAAGTTGCTTGAATTGAATTAAAAACAATTCTGAAAATATATTAAGTTTTTATGGTATTAACGTGGTTTGGTTCAGCCCTGGCTTGGTAAGATATGTTTCTCATAATTGGGTTTGCTGTAGATGTTTGGGTTCACACTTTGGAGGTACATGTGTGTGTACCTGAATACCTAAACTGAAGTGCTGTTATACATAACATCATGCTACATCCAAAACATTCTAATTTAATATTCCTGCAGTTTAGGTCTCTGCTCCCTGTTACCAATGCCTTGCCCTTTTTTTTTTTTTTTTTTTTTTTTTTTTTTTTTTTTTTTTTTTTTTTTTTTTTTTTTTTTTTTTTTTTTTTTTTTTTTTTTTTTTTTTTTTTTTTTTTTTTTTTTTTTTTTTTTTTTTTTTTTTTTTTTTTTTTTTTTTTTTTTTTTTTTTTTTTTTTTTTTTTAATTGTTATTTATTTTATTTTTTTTTAACCAAGTTTGAAAAAGGAACATGTAAAAATTAGACACCCAGCTGCTTATTCACCCTTCTGCACCTGCACGAAGCAGCCCCAGTGTTTGAGACACCTTTTTTCTTTGGCCTTGACATTTCACATGTGTTGAAAACAAGGAGCTTCTGGAGCTTGGTAAAAGACAACAAACACAGAGAAGATTCTTTGCTTGGAATTTATGTGCTATTTTCCAGACTAACAGTTCAGAAATGTCAGATTTAGTCTGACTCCTGACCTTGCTGACAGCAGTTGCGCGCTCAGTGCTTTGATAGGAAGACGCTTGGGCTGGTGCCAGAGGAAGGATTTAGAATCCTGGATTTGGCTTCCAGTGCTGTAGATCAAAGTCTTACTTCATGCAAGAGAAACTGGGGGTGAAAAGAAAGTTTAATTAACTAAAGTACAGGTTTTTTCTAAGTAGATTTGACTTTTTATACCCTCTTGTGGTGCAGCAGAGCTGAGACTGGAGCTGTTTCCTGCTCTGAGGTGTCTGGCAAAAGTATGTCTGTCAGCAAGGGAATTTCTCCAGGAAGGGTATTACTCCAAGGAGACACTGTCAGGAGAGCAGGAGTGCTTGGAAAGGAGGAAGGAACTTGCTGACATGACCTGTGAGGGAGGGTGGGGTGTCCATGATCTGGGACACACGAGGGTTTTGTCCAGCCCTCATTTGTAGTGGAAGGGGCAGTGAGTGATGCCCAGTTGCCTCACAGCTCAGAGGGCACTGCACTGATGTTAAGAACCTGATCCAAGAGCAGCTGGAGAAAGAAGTAATTGAATTTGGACAAGTAAAATATGACTTCTGCTCCAGACCTTGTGCTAATCTTAATTCACGACCTTATCCTGTAACTCACAAGCATTTTTGGCCTTTTTGCTGATAAGGCTTCTTGCTGCCTGCCTGTGCTGGAGAAGTGCCCTTGCTCCCTGGGCAACCCCTTCAGATCTCTGGGAAGCAGCCAAGGAGCTCTGCAAGTCCCTCCTCCAGCTCTGCTCATCACCTTTCCCACCTCTGAGCTGCCAGAATTTATTTCATCCACGTGCCTCAGTATCTTCCAGTGAAAATCAACCCAGGTAGGGCAAACTTGGGGCAGCTCTTCAGGTGACTATAACAGAAATTGGAAGAATAGGAGGATATTTAGAGAATTATGGAATGGTTTGGGTTGGAAGGGGCATTAAAGATCGTCTTGTTCCAATCCCCTGCCATAGGCAGGGACACCTTGCACTTAGACCAGATTGCTCCAAGCCCTGTCCAACCTGGCCTTGAACGCTTCCAGGGCACTATTGATCTGTGGTGTCACCTCTGTACACCACATCAATCCAACGAGCCTTTTGGTTTATGACAAGTGCGTCAGAATTTGTATTTCATTTAGTGTTGTCTGTCCTGTGCAAAGATAAAGAACGAATCTTTGAAGTGACCTCTAAGGGCTAGGATGGAAAGTGTGCCCGATCATCATTTTATGGGGAGCCAGATTTATGTGCTGTTTGCCCTCTGTAAGGAACTTGCCCAAATGCTGCATTGCAAAAGCATTTTATTTTAATATGAAATAGTTGCAGCAAGGCTGAACAGCTGATGGACTTCCAAGAGCACCTGACCTACAAAACCAGATTGCTGCAGTTAGTTTAGGTAATCAAAGAAAAATTATGATAAGTTTGTGCATTGCTTCTTGACTATTTTTTCTAGTCTCTCTCTCTCTTGATATACTTTTTGGCCGATGCTCTAATAATGTAAGGTTATTAATAATCTTAATATATTCATTATAGTTAGATGAAATTAATAGTAATATAAAAATCTATGCATGATTATGTTTTTAAAGTTTGGCTCCTTTTTCCATGCAAAATGAACCAGCAAATCAGAGCTCACATGGGAAGTCATTGGTAAAGCTGATGAAGACACGGATTTCGGTTTTATTTTTGAAATGAAGATTATATTAGGGCAAAACCATGTTTGGTTTTGCATTGTGTTGTTTCTGTGGCTCAGAAATTCTGCCAGTGGGTGCGTGGCTGTGGTTTGCAGGACTGGGGAGCTGTTCAGGGGTGGCTCTTCTTTATTCCAGGACACACACAGACCCAGGGAGTGTTTTATTGTGCACTCTGTTTATTCTGGATGAGGAATCCACAGGGGACAGTTACACATTTTGTCACCTACCAGTGACACCTCACCCATCAAAGGGTACTGACACAAGACTGAAACCGATGCTGCCCAGGAAAAGCACCAGGAAGAGCTGAGGGCTGCAGAATGCTGAGGTGAATCTGTCCAGTTGCTTCAAATGAACTTATTTCTCTTCAAATGAAGCAAATTATTTCTCTCCCAGCCCCTGTGTAATCAAACAAGAGGTACAGACAAGGCCACTGGGACCGCTGGTGGCACTTTGATCAAATCACTGAGGTTCTAGTGGTTTTAGGCAGTTAAAAATGTCCTCTGATCCTGCGAGCTCAGGCGCAGGAAAAGCTGGTCAAATGCCCCAGGCACCCCTAGAGAGATGTGCTTTTAGAAAAACACCCCCTGGAGGGAGATCTTGCCCTGCTTGGTCTGCGACAGCCACTGCCCCCATTTAAAACGCCAGAAAACGGGTAAAAGCTTTTAAATGTAATCACTCAGCTGTTTAAAACCACTCCCAAAGTGGTGCCACATTCATTAAAATGCTTTTCAAGGTGGGAGCTGCAGGGCTGTAGCCCTAGGAGTGCTGTAGTGTGGGTGGTGCAGGGAACATGACAAGGACTGTGGGACAGGGAGCTCCTGAGTCTGCACCGAACACAGCACTGGCGTGCAATGCCAGAGCCATGGAAGGGTTTTGTAAGCCAAGGAAAAACTTGGAAACTGTTTCTGTTCCTAAGGGTCCAAAGAGAGTAATTCTGAAGCCAATGGAGAATGGCCTGTGCCTACAATCCTCTTTCAGGCCAAGAGCTGAAAAACCTGACAGACAGGCTGGCATTTAGTATTAATTGCATCACATCACAGTACTAATTTCACAAGTGCTTTAAGAATCTACCGTCCCTCCAGTTCATGATGATTTGGCACTTGAAAGTCTGGTGAGGTCACTCTTGTGTTGTTAGTTGGAAAGAACAGGCACAAATGTGCATTTCACATGCAGCCTTATTCAGTCAATTTAAAAAAGACCAAAGCTCAGTATCCATGCAGTGGCCTTTTCATCAAGAACTGATTCCCCCACTCATACATCCCTAAAACCTGAATCCTGTTGGCAGTGCAGTATAAATGTGTGTTTCAGGCACAGGAAATCCATCCTCAGGTTGTGAAAAAAAATCAACTCCAGGTCACTTAAGACTATTGAGAAATTTCGGTTGTTCCTCTCCTCTTGGTAAAAGTGTTTCTCCACCGATCTTCGGACCTTTTTTCTCCTGGAAACATGAATCATGGAGAAAAGAAGTTAAGCATGTGCTAGATGTCTCCCAAACACTTCTCTGACAGAAGTTATGGTAATATGATTAAATATTGACAGACACTCTAGGGACCTTGACATTTTGAATTCTTACAGCTTTGTTCAAAAGCAAATTCCCTGGTTAAATGAAACAAAGCTTTGAGAACAGAAAGTGAAGAGGAGGAAGTCTACTGAAAACACAGCCTGCAGGTCCCTGTGTGTCCCTGACAAAATGCAGAGCTGCTTGGCTTTGCCAGGACCCCATAAGGGCAGAGAATCAAAGTGGGGGACAGAAGTACCGAGGGGAGCAGCCAGAGCGCTGAGGTGCTCAGGAACTGCTGCTCACACTTACCTTTAACATCCCATCTCGCTCCCACTTGTAGAGGCCACAGGTACTGAAAGATGAAGATGGAAGGTGAGGATCACTGTGGTGCGTGTCTGCTGCACAGTATGAGGGAGTACAAAGCTATCCCCACACCCTGCCCACGCTGCCTGGCACAAAGGTTAATGTTCCTGGTTTAGGATGTGGTTATGACACTCACAACATGTTATTTGTGAATGGACAGTACAAAAGTCCCAGTCACTGTTTCATGAGGTTTATTCCTTACCTGCAGTGCTTTTTTGGGAGCCTGTCAAGGGAGATAGCTCTGCTTCCACAAGGACATTTGAAAAATCGCTTGATGGCATCATGCCAGTGGTAGTCGTGCTTTTCCTGCACACACGTCTCCAGAGGCTTGAAATAGGTGTAATTACACTGTCAGAGAGGAGAGAGAGAGGTGTGAGTGCTTCACCGGGGTGTGAGACCTGTTCTGTGAGCCAGCAACAGCTGAATGTTCAGAGGGAAGCATCCCTATCTTCTCCCATCCTGAGGGGTCCACCAGTCAGACCTTTCACAGGATCACAGAATATCCTGAGTTGGAAGGGGCCCACAAGGATCATCGAGTCCAACTCCTGGCCCTGCAAAGGACCATCCCCAAGAGTCACACTGTGTACCTGAGAATATCACCCAAACACTGCTTGAACTCTGTCAGGTTTGGTGCTGTGACCACTGCCCCAGGGAGCCTGTTCCAGTGCCCAACCGCCCTCTGGGGAAGAACCTTTTCCTAATACCCAACTAAAACCTCCCTCGACACAACTTCAGGCCATTCCCTGAGGTCCTGTCACTGGTCACCAGCCTAGGCTTCATCACTGCTCCTTCTAATGCCATCCTTCCTTTGCCACCACCCTGTGGCCCTGCTCCCAGCACCTCATGGGGCACACAGTGGCCCTCTGTGCAGCCCCCAGACTGACAGGGAAGGCAGCAAAAGGGAAAGTTCAGCAGGGGCTGAAACTCCGGGAATGAGAGGCAACGCTTCCCTTCCTCTCAGCACATTTGGGGTAGTCACAAAGCTCCCCTCCCCTTCCTGATGGCAAAGTCCCTGGAAATGCAGATGGAGGATTCCCACCCACTGTTAATGTTTTCAAGTCACTTTGCTTATTTTGTTGTGTAATGTGGGGAACTGTCCTGGTACGAAGCACTTCACGGAAGAAACTGAGAAATCTTTTCAGGACACCAATGCCCAAACACCAAGTTGAGATGTTCAGCACAGCACTAAAGCCTGCCTTGCCATGTCTCAGCCAGTGCTGCTCTCAGCAACAGGCATTAGGAACAAAACCATCTCCATCTGATCCCTGTGCTGGATCACAGCCAAAAGTGTGACAGATGGGAGTCTGCAGGATATCCAGCATCATTTTGTACCATCCATGCTCCACTCCACTGCTGTTACCCTGGCTCCCCTTCCCTCACCGTTTTACACGTCACAACTCGACATTTCACTGCTTTGATGTTCCTCATCTTCTCTTCCAGCTCTTCCTTCTTCACCAGTGGCTGAAAGTATTGCTCCTGCAGATCAGCCTCAACCTGGGGGGCACAAAAAGAGGGTTGTGGGGAGACAAAGATGGGAGAAGCCACTCCATAAATGGCCTGCTTGAAGCAGACTGCAATCTGTGAGCAGAGAAACACCAAACCTCTCTTGCTTCAACTAATCCACACTGTAAACACACTACACCAACACTGCAATGAGCCACCTCTGAAATGTACGATTGGGAGGTTTAACAGCAGCATAAAGTACAGAAATAAGGACGTGCCCACGAGGACAGTGCAGAGAGAGGGCAGGTAGGAGGCAGATGTAACAAATGGAACTGGTTTTTAGCCAAAACATTACTCCTCAGAAGACCTTAAAACAACTATGACTTCATACCAGTACAACATGTCCAACACAAGGGCCTGTGTCTTGTGTATCCCCAGGAACATGCTCAGCAAAGACTCCAGTGGGAGACTCTGAGCTCCTCAGGGCAATTATTGGCATTTCACAGGCTCCATGACTGACATGAGTCACACATGAAGGTGGCAGATGGCTTTATGTGGCCAAGATGTCAAGAAATGAGGGACAAAATGACTAATTCCGTTTTAAAGCAGAATGATTTCTTTGATCATCCACCAATCAAGAAACTTCACTGATTCTTTAAAACACAGGAAAAAAAAGAAAACCCTGATGGCAACTTGACCTTATTATGGCTCTGGCAATAGTGCTGACTCGCAGGCACTGTGCCCTGTGTGCTCAGAGACACCTGACCCTGCTCATTGGGAGGATCTGGTGCCTGTGACATGTTTGGGTGTCCATTTCTTGCTGAAATCACTATGAGGAGCCCAGTCAGCTCCCTAGTTCTGAGCCCTCAGTCGTGGCTGGATTGAGGCCATACCTCTTTTAGGACATCTGTGTACTTGGACTTGGCACTCAGGATTTTCTGGAACTCTTCTGACTCCAGATAGGCCAGCTGCTCACGCCGTTTCTTTTGGGCAGGCTCCAGCTCATCCACATCTAGGGAGACAAAAAGGTTCAGTCCTACAAAACAAGGTTGTGATCTCTAAGCATGATCCCTGCAGGGGATTTTGGAAGTCTCAGGTCTCTCAGGCAGATGTTCAGGTCAAACAGCAGCCTTTTGTAGTTCAGGAACATGAAGCCAAGTTCAAATATGGCTTCAGAAAAAAAAGCATTTTTTTTAAACAATATTGCATCTTCTCTCAAAGTACTGTACTAGGAATTTTCACATTACTCCCGGGAGATCAAGCAGTGTTGCCTCACTGACTGATGGAGAAGCTTTAAAGGGAATTAAGCAATTCATCCAAGATCACACAGTAAATCACCAGCAGGCAAACTGAAGTTCCCACAGAAAATTCAGATACCTTCCCAGGTGGGATTATTTCTTGGTTTCCCTTGGTTATGTCAACCATGAACTGCAGATGGTCAAATGCCAGAAGCAAATAGAGATGAGGACAGGGAGCTACCAGAGATTACATCTCACACTCTCTCCACAGGGTTAGAAGTTGTTTAGTCTTTGCAGCAATCCCCTGAAGTTTCAAACAGACCTAACTTGGCCCCTCATTAGCACAGCAATTAAGTCTTTAATCCAGCAACTACTGCTTTGTTCAGAAAGAGAGAAGCACATTTTTTCTGTTGTGGAAGCTAACATTACATACCATTCTCTGCTTCTGCACCTTGTGGCTGAGCAACATTTTTCTCAACTCTTTCAACAATTTCTAGGACATCACCAGCATCAGCCCGTTTCCTCTTGACACTGTTTGGGTCTGTTTTAGGAAGAATCTGTCCTTTTGCTCGCAGTCGGTGGATTGCAGCCAGCTGGAAAACAGGAAAGAGCAAGGAAAGTGTTGGTGACCTGTCTGGCTCCCATGTTCCTACTCTCAGAAGTAGCAGAGGAAGGCTGTCAAAACTGAACAGACAAAATTCAGTGGCCTGAGCACAGAGCTGGCTGGAGAGGCCCAATAAAATTCCCAGCTCTGCTGTACATCTAATTCACCACATCACCCAACATCTCATGACTTCCCAAACCATAAAATCACTCCTCCCCAGGTGTTAACAGGCTTGGCATCTCTATAGCTGTGCTTTATCTGCTTCTCAACTCAGTAAGTTCTCCAGAGAAATCAAACCACTTGAGATTTCCACACAAATTGACAATAATTTGGAACGAATAGAAAATTGCATACAACTATTCCTTTTCATACTCCCAGAATGCCAAGACTCCCTCCTTCTTTCTGGAAGACAAAGGTTTCTTTGACAAACCAAATTTCCCTTAACCCTCTCCTTCTTAATACTGAAAAGATCCAAAGAGCTGGTACCTTTTTGGCTTCAGCCAAGCTGTCCAGCTTTGGTCTTGGAGGAGGTGGAGACCTGTCAAAGAAGAGGATATCTTCTCCTTCCGAGAAGCCAGTGCCCAGCCTGGGCCTTTGAGGAGTGGACATTTTCGCATCTTTGGGAAACTCTGCCCCAGCCACTGGGGAATGGAGGGAGGTCTGTCTGGAGGAGGACGGGACAGCAGCACTGCTGGCTTTACTTGTGCTCTGGAGAAACCTTGCAAGACAAGAACAATTTGTTCAATTAGGGACACAAGCCAAAGAGGCAGAAAGGTTTGAGAAACAAATAGGAGGGGATGCAGACTGTGATTTTTCACTAACTGGCCTTTTATTGCTAAAAGAAACATACAGCAACTTAGGCATTCAGGAGAGGAAAACAAGGCTGGTAAAGAACTTGCTGGGTCGCTGAAATCAAGAGTGACTTGAAGAAGCCACCAGAAGGAGTGAATGACCAATTGCTTCCCAAACTAAAATCAGAGAGAGAGGCATCAAACTAAGCTGGGACATGGGAAGTGGAAGCACTTGGAAAAATGGGTTTCTTTGCAGAACAGGTGGTTAAGCAGGGGGTTCTATGTCCAGCAGCCACATAAGTGTTTGTTTATGTAGGTCACAATAGAGGTTGAACAGTTTTATGGGGAAAAAAATTCCTTCAGAACTATTATAAAGACACCACTTTTAGCTTGGAAAGTCCCTGAAAGGCTCACTGTTGAAGGCTGGAAGAATATATGGGGGAAATATCATGATTGTGCCTATTATTCTCCTTTGGGTTCTGTTTTGGCTCCTGTTGAGCCTTTTAAGGCTACTTGGCTACATCAATCTCAGCCTCAACCAGGGTGGCTCTTCTGAAGTTCTTCTTAGGTTTGTTAATAAGATATGAACAAAACACTTGGCAAATCTTAGGGTTCAGAAGACCCTTGCAAGCCAGCAATGAACAGAACCAGGACTCCTGATTCCAGTTTCTTACTCCAGACTCCTCTCATGATGCCTTTCAGCTGCTGGGGACTGTGCTGGAACATTTGGTTCTGCACTGAATAGTAGGGTATTTCTATTTAAATGAAGTTTCTGTTAAAACACTGTTATACCTGGGGCTACAATGACAGAACCCTTCCTGTGAAAGCCTTACCGCCTCTGAATCTCTTCAGATCGCTTTTTTCTGGCCTCCAGCAATTTCTGTTTCTGTTGCTTGAGCAGTGCTGAAGCAGAGATTGACTGGAAATCGGTCCCTTGCTTCCTTTCAGCATCTGGGAAAAAAAAACCCAACAAAACAACAAACCAAAATAAAAAGCCACTAATGTTTGTTCAGAGGGTGTAGAGTGATTTCAGGAGTGGGTTTTCCTTTAGGCTAAAGGACAATACCTGCTTTGGTCCAGTGTTTGCAGAGGTTTCGTGCTCCAAAAGTGGGCTGTGCCAGCAGTTCCTTGAACTCCTCAGAACATTGCATGGGTCTCTTTGCTGCACCTGGAGTGGAAGGGGCAGAAACACAACAGATTTGAAGCCAGGAAAGGAAGCAGGCCTGGCTTTAGAGATGTAGAGTCATCCAAGTTGGAAGAAACCCCTGTGGGTCACCTGAGTGAGCACCTCCCAAAGCAAGGCCCACCTCTACATTATATTTATTTGCCCGAGGCCTTGTCTTCACAAGGCACATCACAAAGACGTTTCTACCCTGTCAGCAATTTCATCAGTCAGTTTCTCATCCGCCTTGGGCTGTCTGTGTTACTCCTACTGTTCCCATTTTTAGAATGCTTTAAAGTCCTGAAGCCTCCACACCTTATCCCTGGATCCTGAAAGCTGCTACGGACATTTACTATGTTGTCTGAAATGGAGGCAACTGATGGAACTGCAAGATGTAAATAAGGTGTGTAAGTGGCACCTAGAAGGCAGTTTGAATAATCTGCCCCCTGCTCTCCAGTGAGCATGAAGAGGGTATAATATTAAGTGTTTAACAGAAACAAAACAGAGGCAGAGAAGACTGGTGACATCCCAAAGGGCTATGGAAGGATCATGCTTTGAAGATCACAAAAGAAAAGGACTAGAAACAGGGTGGTTTCTCCCCTGCATTGCAGACCAGACTGATTTATACTTAGTATTCCTTGGAAGCTTTCAAGGTCGACAGAAGTAATTTATTTTAATCAAACAAAATAAATCCTCTAGTTCAAAGTTCTTAAAACTTCCAATTCCCATTTATTTGGCAAAGATCTTCTGTCACTGTCCAAAGACAGAGCAGGGGACTTAATTCGTGGGCAGTGATGAAAAAAGATTCATGGAGCTACACAGTTGCTTGGTTACATTTGCCCTGCAGCTGTGATCTCAGGAGGGAAGAGGGGTTTTGATCAACTGAGAAAGCAGCCAGCAAAGGGCTACCTCTGCAGCAAACTGACTGCCAGGTTCATTCTGTGACTAGCAGGTCCTGGGACACATCTACACATTGAGATGGAAATGTGTAAAGGAGGGAGAGACTACATGGGTAAGCGGGTACCAATTTTCTGCTTGGTTTCCTGGACAATTGCATCAGCTCCCCTCACGACCAGGTTGGAGAGAGTGGTTTGAATCTTCCTTTTTGGCACCGCAGCTGCTGCACTGCAAAGAGGAAACAAAACCAGAACATGGGAGTTTTTCCATGCTTAGAGCAAGGACAGGAGTCTGAATTCTAGCCCAGTGCTTCAACAGCACTCCAGCCACCCTAAAGCATCACCTGTCTGTCTCTGAAAGGATGTGGACCTAAATCCAAATTCCAGCACCATGTTTAGGATCCCTCATTTCTCCCTGTGTTGAAATATGTATTTCCTATGCATTGAGAGAAAACTAAATATGGATCATAGCTAAGCTTTGCTCAGTTAGTTCCAGGGATGGAAAGGAGGTTGGAATTGCTTCATTTCTGTAGAGTCCCACCAGAGGTATCAGAGGGCAGTGATAAGGGAATAAAAGCTGTGTCCAAGCACAGGGTTTGATCCAGCTGTGACTCATCCTTCCACACCCGTCTTCAGGGGATTTGGATAAAGGACCTGGCCCCTCCATGCTAGCTATGAGATGTATACTGATCTTGGTCACTCCTGCCTCTTTATTAACACAGTGACACTCTATTATTTCAGCCAAGGGAGAGAGGAGGGAATACAGAATACACTGTGTCTGGGATTAAATGCAGTGAGCTGTAACAAAATACAGTTACACCCAAAAATACCCCTCTGGGAGACTCAAACGCTTGGGATCTCATGATAAAATTAATTTCATCCACTGAAACCCAATGCTGTCTGGTTTCATATCACAGTATTAATTTAGAGGTAGAAACACCCCTTACCACATCTTAGCAATGACTTAAAATGTTCCTATCAAACAGCAGCTCTGTTGCCCCACGGGGCCAGGAGGATTATGCCAAATGTGGGGCAGTTAATCCTATTTGGTGAATGCAGTCAAGGCAAAGGGTTCTCTAACTAAATAGACCCCACTAGAGACAGCCTCAGGCTCCCTTGGGAGGGAAATTCTGTTCAAAAGCAAGAGAAATAAATGGTTTATCTTACACTGAGGCTGCATATGCTGCTGAAGAGACTCCCCCGTAGTAAAACCCGTCCTGACACAACTTCTCCTTCAAAGTGGGATTTTTCCGACCGACTCTTCTGGGAATGCGGCCGCCAGAGAAGGTGGACTGCAGATCCGCCCGCTTCGAGCTGATCTTCTTGTACTGGGATTGTATGTGGTACTGACAATATTCACAGTCATTCTGGAAAGAAATGGGAGAAGCCTGTTACAGAACACCAGCAACTACAATTTACTTCATTCCTCTCACCCACTCACGCATCGTTCTGTGGCTAAACCAAAGTTACTGTAGTACTCCAGCATCTGACCACCTAAGCCAACACATGCCCGCTCTCCAGCAATGAAAAACAAAGCTAAAATTGCCTGCACTAATCACTGGAAACAACCCTATGCATCAAGGAATTTTAAGGCTGCTCCTTGGCTGAAGTCAACTCACACACCATCCAGGACCTCTTGCCCAGATTCTGTATTCTTGACTCTGAACTATATGCAATTCTATGCACTGTATGCATAGCCACTTTCTGGAGTGGGTCTGCAATCACAACCTTGTTTTGCTACAAGTACCTTCTGTATTTGTCTTCCTCATAATCCACACACTCTGAGCTCTTCCCCAGGTCTTCATTCCTTCATTTTTTCTCCTCCTTTTAAGTGCCACCCTACTAACTATAACCCTGCTGACTTAGACAGGATCCCTTTCAGGTATCACAGCATCACCATAGCCATGAAGTGACATAATCCACATGTCCTTTAAACTAGTACAAGCCAGTACTGTCCTAAGAGAAGGATCCCAACACCTTTTCCTCTCATGTGCAGTGCCCCACATTCAGGCATAGTTATTCTGACAGCTTGCAGGCACACTGGACCAGGCAACTCATTGGGTTAAGAAAACCATTCCCAAAAACAGCCATTCCTACTGTTTTACCTTGGATGAGTTCTCTAGTTTAGTACACTGGAGCAAAGCAGAGTGAAAGGGTGTGGTAGTCAGGGGTCCTTTCACTGCAGCACCAGCTTTGCATTTAGGGAACTCCCCTGCTGCTGCTCAGTGCCAGCACAGAAGTAGCTTCTCTTGGTTTAATTTCTCACTTTCTCCACCCACTTTAGTTAGTCAAGAGCCAGAAACAAGTCAAAAAGTCAGAGCATCAGTGAAAAATCAGCAGCCAGATTTTCACCAACAGCTTAAGGATGTCCTGAGGATGTACTTAAGGATGAAATGATGTACTGAGATACAGACCAGGTTCACAATCTGGGCACAAGGATCACCGTTCTTCTTCCTGGCTTTGCAGGTGCCCATGTCCAGAGCTTCCCCCATGAGCAGGATCTTCTGGGGATGATCCACAGACAAACACACCTAGAAAGAAATCAGAACATGCCTTGAGGAGGATTGGATGGGATTCTCTCTGGACAGGACAAGGGGGAATGGCTTCAGAAAGAAAGAGAGAGGGTTTAGATTGGATATTAGGAGAAACTTCTTTACAGTGACAGTGGTGAGGCACTGGCACAGATTATCCAGAGAAGCTGTGGATGTCCCATCCCTGGAAGTGTTCAGGGTCAGGTTGGATGGGGCTCTGATTAACCTGGTCTCATGGAATGTTCCCTGTTGAGAGCAGGGGGGTTGGAACTAGATGATCTTTAAGGTACCTTTCAACCTAGGCCATTCTATGATTCCAGATGTCACTGGTTTGGCTCTGGTCTAATTTGGTACCTCTGGTATTAACAATGCAGTTCAAGATGCAGGCCTAGTTTAAGAAAGCCATGTGTCCTACTCAGACTGAGAAAAGACTCAGTTAAAAAGAAGAAATGGGAATTTCTCACAGGGAGATTAAAGACATTGGATTTCTATGCTCAGTGCCTCAGGAAACCAAGGACCAGCAAAGGCAGATCTCGCTGTGCTGTAAGTGGTCCTGTAGAGCCACTGAGCTCTGATGCCATCATGGCACTCACATCAGGCAGTGGATGGGAGAAAGAGTTGTAAAGAGCTCTCTGTCCTTCTCACATGTCTAGGTTCCATCAAAACTGACTCCTGTGCAAGAAGAACGACAACCAAAGATACCAGGAATTGTGTCTGTAGCCAAGAAACACTTTGAGAAATCAGTTTTAATGTAGTTCTAAATGTGAACATTTTAGCTAAGCAGAGCCATTCTTGACAGTTAAATACATTCCTTCCATTAAATCTGGTGTGCCTTTCTGCTCACCAGCAGGACTTTCTACTGCTTATTCATGTTAATTTAAGCAATTATGTAGCTTAATAGACAATTAATGAGATCCTTAATTTTTCTATTTGGAGAATTTAAAATGCAAAACACTACATGATCAGATACTAGACTGAAATTCCCCTTGATAGAAGTCAGTGGAAATGGTTTCCATTCCAATGCAATTAATATGGTATTAAAAATATATTAATTTATTAGCAAAATCAAGCCACCTTAAATGTTTTCATACATATAGAAAGGTAATTCATCATGTTCTGCATTTGTAACTATTCAGTTAAACAGGTGAACTACTATGTAACAACTGACATGCACTTTCATAATACATTATTTGTTTAATAAATCAAATATTGCTTCTTTCTCAGTTGGGATTTTGGAATCACATCTCATGCTTTAATTAGAAGAGAGAAATGAGCTTCTCCACCTTTTTCAGCTTTGAGAGACCTCCAGGCTGAAATAGGTGCTGCACTGAAGTGGCTAAATAAACTGAAATGAAATGAACATAACACTCCCTACATTTGTGGAAGAGCCAACTGCTACAGAGAGGAGATTAAACACTGGAATAAACTCTGGGTTTAGGTGCTTAATACAGGAGCAAATACACACCATGCAACTCCCTGAATGCAATTCAAACTGTTGGGCAGACTGTTGCAATTTCAACCTTAACATGTGCCATAAAGCTAAATCTCAGCCAGACGTGATAAGGTTCAGCTATGTGTTTTTATCTACAGCTGATGGGGAAGTGAAAAATCCTCTCACCTCGTCTGAGCCTTCTTTAGGTTTCATAGGGTTGGCATTGAGCAGCCCAATGACTGTGCCCTGGTCTGTCTTCCAGTGCTCCTTGTGGACTTCACCGAACAGGAAGAGCGAGACGCACTCATTGAGATCCCGCAGGTCGTTCAGCCGCCAGATACTGAAGGTTCTGCCCTGGAACAGACGGCCCCTTTCCTTTCAGCACTTAGTACTGGGACACTGACTGCATCCCCTCTTGCTGTTGCTTTAAAAGAGTTACTCTGATTTCCCCACTCCAAGGTTTTCCTAGTTTAGAAAAGCACAGTTTGTAACCCCAGTAGAGGTTAGAGTATCTCCAGCTGTGCCATGCTGCCAGTTCTGGGATTCTTCAAGGCCAAAACAGCACAATATTACTGCTACCACCAACCTTTCTCATATTAAAACCAGACAATCCAAGATCTTTCTTACAGCAGCTTTTCATTAACTACCTGGAGTTGGCTGATTAAGTTGAACACCTAATTAGTTTCTCAGGAAAGACCACCAGCATTTCACTTGGACTGGACAAGCGATATAACAAAGTTGCTTACATTATTTGCACTCTGAGGTGTGACCTTCTTCACTATGACTCCAAAAGTTACCCAGTCTATTTCCTCCAGATTTTCTGCAGCAAGTTTGCTCTTCAGCTGGGACAGTCGGATGAGCTTCCTGTTGGTCATCTTCCTGTTCATTTCAGCCGAGGACACCCGGGGTTTTCTACATCAAGTGAAAGCATGTAAGAGAGAGCACATCCATTGGCATAAATGGACAACAGAAACCATCCAGTGCTCTCCTTAGGAGACTACAGCTTGCTGCAAAATGGCTCTGTGCCTTACTTTCCTTGAAACAAACCCCATTGTTTAGAGCACTGTGCAAATATCAGAAAGTTACTGATCAGGCTGTTTTTTGTCCAAATAGCTGCACTGCAACTCAGCCCAGAGCCTGCACTAACTCTGCTCGTTTCAGGAATGACCAAGTATGGCTGACTGAGCTGGGAATCCAGCACGGGCTCTGGTGAGGAGACACCGTGAGGATTCAGAGTCCTCTTGTGGCCACACTGAGTATGGGGATGGCCGAGGATGAGTGGCTCCCGAGGCTTCTCCTTGTGGAGCAAAAACCTACTCAAATGGAGCACAGCTGGGGTTTGCACATGCCCACTGCTCCACCACTGAGGATATCCCAGGGAAGGCAGAGCTAATGAAATTACAGCTTTTTTGTTAGAAAAGTGCAAAGGTGAAACCAGAAACATGGTACTAAGCTAAAAGTCAATGTTGCCTAATTGCTGATCAACCAGCCAGTGCTGTGGCTTCGTGTTACATCCCCTAGTGGCAAGTGACTAATCTGACATGGTTAAACCACGTACATTGCTTTTTCTCTCCTATTACTTGAGGGATTGACCCCAGGCGGAGCTCAGAGCTGGGCTGCTGACCTTAATCTCAGTCCTGAGAAGGTTTCCACAGACACTGGCTGAGTTGTTGCACTGGAGCATGCAGGCACATGGGAAGTCTTCTCTCTGACCACCTTACTGGGTGTGTTCCCCGTGGCAGACTGGAGAGGCTGGAACGCCATGCTGAGGACTTGCCGTGGAGGAGGAGCCTTGTTCTCTTTAGCAGAAAAAAAAAAAAAAAAAAGACATAGCACCCAATACAATAAAAATACAAATACAAAAAAGAATACAATAATTAACTGTAATGATCTCTGTGCTGCTGTGACCAGACCACCACTGGAGCACTGAATACTGTTAAACTATCCTGGATGTGTTCACACCACTGTTGGGAACTGTAAGCTTTTGACAAAAGCCTGGTGGGCTCCAGTGAAAGGCAGACCGAGAATGGTACCTGCTGAGGATGGTTTTGATTTCTGGAGTCCTCGCTTGGCTGGTGGCAAAGGATTGCCCAGCTGGGCCGAGAAACATGGTGATTCTTGCACCTTCTGAACTTTCCTTTCCTTTAAGGGTAGACAGGGAGATTTACCTGGCCAAGAAAACAAAAAACACCGTGAGTTCTCAGGATCTGGACTCAGACTCTAAAAATCGCTCCAAACTCTGTAATTCTTGAACAACAAGTCCAAGTCAGGGTCCCACATGTAAACCCTTCAGCTAAGTTGTCAGCATCTGAAATGCAACATGGATGGAAAAGTCCAAATGACTCCAAAATGTCCCCATGACAACCTAAAACTTTGGATGTCACTGCAACCTCAAAGCTGTGGAAAGTAGAAACATCCCCCTGCTTAGCAATTTTCCCATGTAGTTTCATTACTACACCCAACATGCTACAGCAACAAACACAGCTGTATTTACCAGGTGTACCAACATCTGCCAATAAAAAGGGACACTTCCAGAAGAGCCTGGAGCACTTACTCATGAAAGCTGTCCAATGCAGAATTAATGCATGGTGCAGACACCAACACTGATTTAGTCCGTAGGAGCAGGAAACCTGGGTGGTAATACACCAGACCAACATTCCTCCTTGCTGCTCAGTGCCCCACTTCAGAACTATTTGGAGTCCTGCCTATAAACTGCACGTTGGTAAGCCAACAAATCATAAATCCATTTAATTAGTCTCATTACCAGGGGTTTTCTTCTCAGGGCCTGAACTGGATTGCTGCCCAATTGCAGTCTTCTGCAACTGCTCCTGTAACGTCTTCATCTGTTCTTGCAATTTTCTCAGCTCAGCTAGGAAAGAAAGAAGAAAAAGGATAATAATGAAGACAGCAGGAAGCCAGTGCAAAGAGGGATTTATGAGATCCCTGGAAGTCTGGCAGTGTTACTACATCATGGGAACTTAGAAAACAAAGACTCAAGTCACAATAGAGATTTACTTTATTCTACACAGCTCACAGTGAAGGGAAACTTTTCCACACAGCCTGGAGCTGGCTCCTCTCATATAAATATTTTACTTGATCGTGGTATGTTCCTTGCTATGTTGTGTAAAACTTTCCTACCAAGCATAAGACAATTTAATGGCTGATGGTTGCACTCCTTAGCATTACAAAATACTTCTGATATAATCAAATATATGGCCTGGACACAGGAAAGCTCAGAGGCTAGCTCTGCTTCCACACTGACTGGCATGGCAGAATGTCCTACCAATAAACCCTGAGGGGGAAGGGACTGCTGTGTTGGTCAAAGATGTCAGGATAACAGCCCAGAAGACTGAAGCAACATTGCTCTTCATGAGACAAGGCACAGGTACACAGGCAATCTTCCCTATCCTGTTCACCAGAGCTAGGTTAGTCTCCCTGGCTTACTTAAGTCTTCTGTCTTTATTTTGGGAGAACAGGTTTGGTGAGCTTGGCAACTGAGCACTGAAAGCTGGACTTAGAAGCTTTCACAAGAACTTTCTGTATTTCTCCTCTGGGTACTATCCTACTCTAAGAAGCAGCAGGCCCTGCCTTCTGCCCGTTAGCCCTCTAGAGACAATACATCCAACAAAACAAAGGTGCTGATCAAACCTTGCAGTTCTTCATTGGTTTTCTCCTTTGCCTGACTGGGAGCTGAACTGGGGACAGCTTCCTCTGCCTCCTCCTCTTCCAGCAGGTCATCTACATCTCCAAACAGCGCAGCCAGGTTCTCCTTCTGCTCATCAATCGTGCTGTCCTCGGCACTGACCTCCTCGGTGTAGGACGCATCATCTTCTGCATCAAACAGCTCATCGTATTCATCTGGCTCTCCCCCCTCATCCTCGGGGGTATCTTCCTCCCCAGGAGGATTCCTCTCCTCAGTTGCTTCACTCTCTTCCAGGAGGGAAGCCAACAGGTCCAAGTCATCATCAGCTGAGGCAAAAATTAAACTCAGAGTTATTCCCGCCCGGTTAGAAGAAAACTGCCAAGGAATAAAAGGATCCAAGACACTCTAACTAAAAGCTAATGACAGCTGAAACTAAATTGGAGCAGCGAGCTCAGAGCAGCATTTTTAAAAACTACTTCAGCTTTGGCTAAAGGAAGACAGAGC